CTTTTTCTTTTTTATATAATTTATTGATTTGTATGATTTATTTTGTCAAAATTCAATATTATTAATATAATTTTCTTAAATGAATCAGAATTATTGGAGAAAGATTTTAAGCAAGCTACGGTGTATGCGTACCGAAAAAGCAAATTAATATTAAAATAATTATAAAAGGAATTGATATGTATCTTTTTTTAAATCAATAGTCTTGTTTTCTTGTTTATCGTCTGATAACATTAGTAATATGTTTTTGCCCCTGATCAGCATGTATGCACAATACATCTCTGATCAACACACTGTCTTCTTGTGCGGTTAACACCCCCTCCCCCTTCTCCCCTAAATAAGAGCTCGGGCCGTGTGTGTTCACGGTCAACATACCTGTACTGCTCTCTCACCTGGGGTCAATTAGTAACCTCGAATAGTACCTGGTTCTACAATCTCTCACCAGGGGGCGTTTTTACTTGCCTTGTAAAACGAAAATAGATTATAGATTCACACCAACTTGGTAATTATCTAAAATGAAACTATAAATATCAATCTTTAGCACTTCTTTTGTTCTTTTAAAATATGGATATATATTAAAATAGCTTCAATATGTACGGCACTATTTTGTTTAGAATTTTTACACACATTTTCATTTTGAAATCAAGGAGACAAAGTTAGAAAGTATTTACTACCAGAGAGCTTAAAACACATAACATCACTGGCAAAACATACAAAGCAATCAATGTTTATACAATTTTTGTTGACATTTAATTATTTGACAATCTGCACTACTTTTTAGACGACAGAGGTGTAAGCAGAGCGCGTCCTCTGGTGAGAGATTACCTGGTTCTAATGAAACGCATCTATTTATTTTCGAGATTTTGTTCCTAACTTGTGTGAACAAACTTATCAAAGATTTTGTTTGAAATAAGTTAAGTAATTGTACAATTTATGGATTTAAAAATCATCCCATTGATTGAATTTAAATAGAAATTCAAATAAATCAATTTAATGAAATGAAGTCCCTAAAATCAATCCGCTGATTTATTTCATTTGTACAATGTCTCCATTATGTTTATGAAAATAAGTCTAGATCTTTTAATAAACTTTTTAAAAAAAATACTGCACTTATGGTACATGAACTTTCGAATCATCGGGTTTTCTGCGTAATACGGACAGAATTAATTCTAGGAAACAATTTCATTGATCGTAGAGACGGATGAAATAGTTCTAACATTCAAATCTATGAAAATTAGCTCGCATTATTTTTAAGGGTATATTTTACTATAATAATAAAACAAAAGATTTCGCCTGGTTCGGTCGGGACCATGCAAGGCAAGTTAATACACCGAATCAATTGATAGTATAAATTCATTCTTTACTTATATAATTTTATTTAAAAATTCAATATTATTTATGGCTATTTGGTTATGTCTTGTTTAATTATCTAATTTTTTGTTATTATAAGAACCAGTTCACTCAAAGTCTAATAAAAATAATTTATAATTATTCAGGCGGAAAAGTCGCATTTCACTCTTTAAATATTTGTTAATATTTGTTAATTAATTTCTGTGTTTTGTATTGTAAAGAAAAAAGTGTAAAATCAAATTAAAAAAAAATGATGAAAAAAGAAAAGAAAATTTGTCAATCGTCAAAACTAGTGGTCCAAGCCCATAAAATCTTATTTCGAGGGGGGGGGGGTGTTGAGGGTTGAGGGTTATGGGTTGTTAGGATCCGATTTCTTTTTATTATTAAGCACTTCCATTAAAATTTTTTTTTCTCATATTTCTTTCTTTGACTACACTGTAATGTGACTGTTGAAAAGGGAGGGGGGGGGGCTAAACCAACTTCACTTTGTTCAATGCATATATAAATTATGTCTATCTTTGCAAAAAAAGTGAGGGGGGTGGGGGCTAAGCATCCTTAACACCCCCCTTTCCCGACGCCCATGGATTAAATCACATTTGTGAAAACTAAGTCGTAAATATGTGTTTTTGTGCTGTTGAATTTAGAACCGCATTCATGATCAAAATTCCATGACCCGGATGAGTTTTCAACGGACTAGGGTCTAAATTCAACATCTAAGGTCTCAGTATTCAACGTTGAATAATGACATCTTGGGTCAATTTTCAACCCGGCCAAAATTCAACGTTACACCGGATGTGATGCCTATATTTCCTCAAAATGAATGATTTTCATTGAATATCTGGAAATTCTCAAAATAAAGAAAAAAAGAGCTGCAGATTTAAATGTACACTATATAACGACTAATCATTCTCATATGTTTCAGTAGCATAAATGACAGTTTCTTGACCTGAAGTCCAAAAGTTGCTACACTACGTCAAGTTAGAAAAAATTCGACCACATTATCTGAAAAACACGCATTTAAAAGCGCCAAGAATATAACTTTCGCTCAGATTAAGATATTCATAAACCTAATGCATGGTAGAAATCGGGCTGCATTTGTTGTATATGGCGGACTAGGATATTTTAATTATATGGTCGAAAAGGGGGGATGTTAAAGATTTACCGGGTATTTGTTTCTTTCTAAGATCTAAAAATAACATTTAATGTTTAAATAGAGCATTAATTTTTTTGTAAATTTACTTTTTACCTAAATATATTCATTTTCAATGTTATCATCAAACTTTAGAAGGTAACACATAACTCTTAAAACATCCCCCCTTCTTGCTATCAGTCATTTTGAGGAAATATAGGCATCACATCCGGTAAAGAAAGAAGGACTTTTTTCCGGCATTTTAGTACAGTACTTATTATTAACAGCTTCAAAACCTTGAAAACCCAAAATATTGTTAAAATTTTATTAAAAATGCAAAATTTTGAATTCTGTTAATAGGGCTAAAAAGCAACTTCCGGTAATGGAAAGGAATTCATTCAACGGTTAAATAATTGATTTCGCAAAGTAAAAGATGTTCTAACTTTTTTGGTACGTAATATAACCTGTATATAATTTTCACCCTAAAATTAGATTGTTGCGTTTCTATTGACGGTGAATATACAAACTGAATAGCACAGATATACCTCTTAATGTCTGAGAATATAAAGAATACAGACACTACAAACTACAAATGTAATTTAAATGTCCTCTCGAAATGACATGAGTTTTTTGACTCTGGTGTTTTTCAAAAGTCATCGATGTTAAAATATGAACAAAGTATACCGTTTACAATAAAAGGCGTCGTTTATATTTTGTTTGCTGTCCTTTGCAGGTGACACAAAATGCATAAAAAGATCACGACAAAACAATAAGATAAAAAAAAATATTTATTTGCTTCAAGATATGCACGAGTTAACATCCGCGTTAATAAAATAACATTGATTAAGACGTTTGAAGGACAAAAATAGCTAATAAAGGAAGATTGCTAGATATCAAACTTTTAGGAAGTTGTATATCAATCTTATATTTAAGATGAAAATGATTTTGATGTATAAATTTTCATACCATTTTTTGTACAGAACAGGGGGCAGATTTTCCAAAAGCACTTTGCTTCGAAGCTAAAGATATTGCTGAAATTATGGATGTCTTAAAAACGATGAAAGATGCGTATCCAAAGGAGTCTGATGCTTCAATTTCTAATCATCTACTTGAGTCTCTAGACATTGGCGAATTTAAAAACAAATTAAAATCTTTGGAGAGTAGAGTAATTTTAGTGGATCCTACAAATCTTTGCAAGGATAGTACATGTAATGTTAGTGATGGTCATGTTTGCATCTACAGAGTAGAAGTAAATCCTTCCAACAGACTACTTATTGTGAAGGAGGTAAATTTGATATTTTTAATTTTTTCTTTAATGCACATTTGTTATTCAAATTACATTGGACCGGTCACGGTAGCCTAGCAGTAGAGCGTTCGCTTCGTGATCGGGAGGCCCGGGTTCGATTCTCGTTCGCGGCGCCGCGTCATACCTAAGACGTAAACAAAGGAATTGACTGTTCCTTCGCCAAGCGCTCGGCACTAGAAGTGAAAGTCACGGGTCTTTCGGATATGACCTTAAAAACGTAGGTCCCGTGTCACGGTAGGCGCTGGCACGATAAAGAATCCTCACTGCTCAATGGCCCTGAGTGCCGAGTATAGGTCTAAATTTGAAGCCCTTCACCGGCATACGGTGACGTCTCCATATGAGTGAAAAATTCTCAAGAGGGACGTTAAACAATAAACAATCAATCAATCAATCAATCAATCAATCAAATTACATATTCCTTTGAAGTACATACTTTTACTTCGCAAAAATATATCCGACTAATAACTCCTCACACACTATCCTTTGTAGCATGAAAAATGCAAAATGTGAGAATTAATACACGTTTATTTTATGGAAATCAAACAAATTAAATAGACTTCATTTCATGTTTTTTTTTCTTTTGCAACACAGCTAACAAGTACCTTAGATACACTAGAAAGCACAGCGCACCTTCCAAGATTATTTCTTGTAAGCAGTCATTCTGTGTGTATTATAGATGCAAAACTAGCTGTTTACAAACAATTCAAATACCTGTTCAAATTCCATAACTTTAGAGTCATCCATGAATTAGATTCAAACAAGGAGTTTCTCCTTTACTGTTGTAAACACACGATCGACTCATTTCGAAGTGCAGTTGAAAAAATTGTGCAAAATTTACGGAGGAAAGAGATTCAAAGAATTGTGGAAAATGCCGCATTTTATTCGATTTCATTAGATGCTATTAAACAACATTGCCAAAATCTGGAAATTATTGATGAAGGTCGCAATATCGAATCTGTCCATGATGGAAGTTATTTAAAGCATTCTTCAAGGTTTAGTACTAGCACTATAAAAACAATTATTACAAAAACAATTGAAAAAATTGGAGATAAGTTTACTTTCGAGGTTTTGATTAGACTCGAATTACTGATTTTGGAAAAAGGTAATAGATCTAACTTTTTAAAAGACATCAAAAGCAAGGGATTCGGAATGCAGATGGTGAGAGATTATTTGTATGGAAGCGTTGTACGGTTTTTGAACCCATTACTGACCATAATGATGGTTATTAAAAAGGAAACAGTTACAGAGTCTGTAAATATCAACTCCGTGGAATGGCGACACAAAATAGGAAAAGAAGTATACGACATCATACAAGGAATGAAGGACAAACTCATCTATGAAATAGTTTCTAAATTGAAACATATATTTGATAAAACTGAAAGTGATCTGATGGAATTAGTTGGCCGATTGGGGACTGCAAGCCGAAAGATACCCATTAGAGACCAAATGAAACGTATGTTACTCAAATTATTAATTAGTAAGGTTTAATTTTTTTTCGATAAACTGAAACTTACCACAGGTAGTTTTAAGGTTTTACCAAATGTTCAACCAAGCGACTTTCTCTACTCCTCACTAAAATATCAACAGTAGTGAAGAAGAAGAAGGATATGGAGATATCGAACAGTATTCAATCTCAAAGTCCAAAAAACAATACAAAATAAGATCAGGGCAAACAGAGACATCCAAATCATCAGAGATGGTGTCAGGTGCGATTGAGGAATGAGCATCTCCTGATGACCGGTCACACCCGCCTAGTGCTCCTTGTCATGATTGGGAAATAACGGACAAAATCCGTCGTCAATACATATAAACATACGTATAAATAGTTGTCTTACAATTAGTTTAATTAACGGCAGTCAGCATTTGGCTCAATAATGAATTGTATATTCTGACAATGTCATTGTATCGACCATAGAAATTACGAAATAATAATAATGACTTTTAACGAGACTGCTGATATCCTTGTTTCATCAACTTGCTGCTTGTCAATAATTTACCTCGTTTTAGAAATTGTTCATACATATAGCATACTCTTACGTATCGGATCAACCGACATATATACACCCCGTTTACATGTGACGAAGGTATCCTCCTGCATAAGTAAGGGAAGTTGACGATAGAAAAGTTAAAGTCATCAGGTTTATCATATTGCTTGGTTCTTAAATTACCATTAAAGTTTGTTTCAAGTAAAATATCCAAGTATGAAACAGATGTGTCAGTCTCGGTGGAATTTTTTATCTCAAGCTCACCAGATTATATATCGTATGGACGTAGGAATGGAAAGTACCGTTGTTAATCGATAATACGTCGTCGATGTATCTAATGTCGTGTTGAATGCCACAGCAAGTGTTTTCGTCTTTCAAGCATCAGATTTTGCACTTATTCTGCTTAACATGAATATAATAATAGGTCTTATAACGGAGTGCAATTGGTGCCCATTAAGATTGTTGGAATATCTGGTCTCCAAAACAAAAAACCAAATTGATATTGTCAATAAAAAATTCAAGCTTCCTTTTGATGTCAACCTTAGAGTACTTGTGTATGCAATCAGAATGTGTTTTAACGAAATAATTTTGCAAATGACCAATAACCAGGTCAGTTAATTTAAGAGTTGCATTTTTATTGAAAAAGTAGCTGTCAATGATTTCAATAATTTTAGTGAAATATTAAAATCGACATATGATGTTGAAGAATTACTTCCTTAGAAAGGGAAGTATAAGTATGATAAGGATTTCCACTTGTAGAATTAAATCCAGATTCTTCTAAATTACAATTTATATAAGGAGTATTAGAAACGAAGAAATGTTATTTCGAGAGTACTGTGCAACAAAATGGTATACATCAGAAGTAGATACTTAACAAATCCAAGGAACGTTTAAAAAATTCAAAATCATAAGAATTTTCCAAAATCAACACCTTTGTAATTTAGACTTTTTGCCGTTATTCACAACCATTCCCCACGATGAATTATTTCCAGGTTTTTTTCATAAAATTGATAGTTGCTTTTTCAATAAAAATAGGGACTCATTACTGTACCCGACTAGGATAAGGCTGTCAGTAATATATATAACTGTACTTGCTTCTCTGAACTGCCTTTATATGACGTCATAATAGAAAATAACGCCAGGTCACTGCGTACTTGAGCTGCTGGGTAGAGAAAGTGCCATACTATTTACATGGCATATACATTGGGGGAGGGGGGGGGTGCTGTTTAATTCAAGTGTTCGCAATGAATTTAAGGTATGATGTTAAACATTTGAAATTTAGATACACCTTTTTCTTTCGATTGTCCGATGTGCACACATATAAACAATAGCTACATGTAAAAATTATATATGAAACACTCTCTTACACGTCCGTAGACGGAGAAAGAATTTATGAATCATGTTTACATTCGACTGGCACAAGTGAAAAACAAAGATTAATTGAAGATATTCCGTGTGAATCTACAAGAAGTGTGTCCTCTTACTGAATTTGGTATAAATTGCAATAATGAGTGGAAAAAAAGAGTATAAAGTAAAAATTATTCCTGCCCCCCCCCCCCAGCACTTTCTATGTACCAGAGATCACGATGAATTGATCTATGCAACAAATTTTGCACAATATACTTGTTTTGCACTTATGCCAAAGCAATTTTTGTGCAACATTTAAGAATATCATAAATGCCCGTCACGTGATCAAAACAGCCTTATGACATCACAAAAATTCCTCAATTCAATACCTGAATAAATTATTATCGTAGGTTCACTGTCATTTTTATCAAAAATTTCATATTGGAATAAAATTCTAGCTCAAAAGAAAAGGTATATTTTTAAAGCATTTCAAGCCTTCGGAACAGCCAATTCAGAACTGCGATATATTTTTTTGCAATATATCTACGGGGACGTTGCAAAGTCATATCGTAACTTTTATGTTCTATTGAATGACCTTGTCAGCAGATACAATTTATCATTGAGTAATATGCTGACTTATGTTTTAGTTAGGCCATTATTTATGCACTGTATTGTCGATGGATTTTCTGTTATTTCCTGATCTTGACTGGGAGCACTAGGCGATTGTGACCGGTCGGCCGAGGATTCTCATTGTTCCATTGGAACTGATCCCACTTCTGATGTTAGGAGGTCTGTGTTGCCTCTGCTCCTATTTAATAATCTTAATTTACTTTTGAGCTTGAATACTCTTTGTTATCTCCATATATTTTATATACCTTAGGAATAAACAAAATTTAATTCTTTAAAACTGTATGCAATACAAATTATTGACATGCGATGGAAATAACCGATGTGGGTAACTTAAAGGTAACATTCAGACACCTTTCAACACATTTTAGTGAGCATCAAGTTGACTGTACATTATTTTTTTCTTTATTTAGCTAACTATCCCAATACCAAATAGTCTTCTTTGAAACAAATACTTTAAGTGTTTAATGCATCAAAACATTTATCAACAAGCAATATTTATATTTAGTGTAATTTATGTTTGAAATCCGTAAGAAATGCTTTCAAATCACTATAACACATGCGAAACCTTGTCACTTGAAAGGTATTTTTTATCACTGCTTTACATCAAAATACTTTATTTATGTTCATATCTCAATACTTTCCATTTTTTAGTTATAGATGAATGGATGCTTCGTGAATTTCGAATAGAGAATATCGAAAGATGTCCATCAGTTCTTCACTTTATAACAGGAAGAAAGAAAAACGCAATAGTTATGAAAGTATTTTTACAAAACGCGGAAGACAAAGCAAAGATATTTTGCAGGGATCATGCAATAAATGTGCCTGATAATGCTTTATTTGAATATATTGATGTATCCCTGAAGTCAGACTCCAAAACGAGTTTTACTGCTATTATGCAAAGAAAAGAAAAAGGTTTTCATATAAAGAGTGAAATAAAAAGGCGCATGAAAGACATCCTAAAAAATAAAAAAGAGGAATTGTTTTCAAAGCATTCAAATTTAGTTTCGATAAGCATGAGTCCAGTTAAATATTCTGGAGACGACGTCATTCATAAAGAGTGTATAGTTTTATATTGCCTAGATGCAGATCTGATTCCATTTGGAGAAGAGCCTTTACCAAAATCTCTTGAAGAGTTTGAATGCATCATTCTAGAAGATTTTATTCAGTTCGGAAGATGTGAGAATTGTAAAGGCCTAAATAATGGATGTAGCGTTGGTAGATACGGAGATCTTTCATCGGGAACTTTGGGATTTTTTGCAAAGAAACAATCACATCCATCCCACAATGGATTTCTTACTGCTGCTCATGTGGCATTAACAGACGATGTTATTGCTTCACTGAATGAAAGAAAACTTTCTGATTATTCTTTTCAAAATAATACTTATCAAATTGTTCATCCGTCCTTTGAAGACAGTGCTTCTAACAATATCGTTGGGCAGGTCGACGATTCGTTTTTTGGAAATTACAATTTTGTTGGAATAGATGCAGCTTTTATCAAAACTGATGTACTTATGCATAAACGTATGTAAAACAGTTGGTTCTTCTATAGCATCATTTTGACTTTGATTGAATTCTTCTTACATTTTAGAAAATTATAGTGTTTTATATATCTTTCTCATTTTCAGATGAATTGCAATACTCATCAATCAATTTTGACCTAGATTCCGATGAAGAGTATGAAGTCATCAAAAGGGGAAGGACAACAGGTGAAACGAAGGGAATTTTGAAAGAATGCACTTTTCTGATCCGTAGGCCTTTTCCAGACCGTGCCGGAGTCTATCTAACCTTAGACAACTGCTATTCAATTTTTGATTCAAATTCACAGATTTTCTTTTTACCCGGAGATTCCGGTGCTGCCGTGTACGTTTGCAATAAATTGGATAATACTCGACAACCACTGGGACTTGCATTCGGTAAAATGACGAATTTTCCAGTAACCTTCGTTTCTCCCATTGACAAAATTGCTGATGTCTTGAACCTTTCTATTCTTCAACCTGCAGAACCAATGGAAATTCCTTAATTCAAACATATGCTACGAATGTAAAGTTATGACATATAAACAGTCATATAGTTTATGTAGGAAATGAACTGTTAACGAATCATGCTTTTGTATGAGTACATTTTGTGTCATGCTATTATATGTTACTTATACAGTGGATCTCATTTATCTGGACGCTTTCGTTCCCAGTGAATTTGTCCGGATATGTGAAGCGTCCGGATACCTGAATCACCAGTCATACAAGACAAAATAACATAAAAAATACGTTCTGATGAAAAATCGTCTGGATACTGAAGCATCAGGATATCTGGCGTCCAGATATCTGAATGTCCACCATAGATATGTTTTGACTCTCAATTATTAATTATGTATCACATATCACTTGTAAGATTTTCCCGATATGTTTTTGTATAGAGTGGGGTGTTTATTTTATTTAATTTAAAACGATTTCTGACGATGAACGTGAGATTAACATTCACTAATTATAGCCCCCCACATCAGAAAAGATATCACAAACAAAAAATACAAAGTCCCGTCCAGCAAAGGTTTAACCAAGCCCCTACTTTTACTTCTTTCAAATATATTAGATTCTGCCGCACAGTTGTCATGTAAATTCTTGTTTACCGTTTATGGTAGCTCAGTCGGTAGAGCGCTCGCTCCGTGATCGGGAGGTCGTGAGTTCGTATTTCGGCTGCGACTGACCTAGTTGATAAATGGGTAGCAACTGTTCCTTTACCATGCGCTCAGCACTTTAAAGTGAAAGTTGCGGGTCCTTCGGATGAGACTTTAAAAACCGAGACCCTCACTGCTCAATGGCTCTGAGTGCCGAGCAAAGGTAAAAATTTGAAGCCCTTCGCCGGCATACGGTGACGTCTCCATATGAGTGAAAAATTCTCTCGAGAGGGACGTTAAACAATACACAATCAATCATTAAATTCTGGTTTTGTTTTGAACATATTTTATTGTATAATTTATACAAAGGGATTGGTAACAAGTTCTTGCAATTAAAAAAAACCCTCACTGTAATATATACAATAATTGAATTAGTGATTGCCAAAATAACAATTGAAGGTTTAAAGTTATACATATACACGATAAATACAAAATATTTCAAGTTAAGATACTTGCTAAATAATTCAGAGTTCTTACAATATGTAAATCTATAATGTTACATGTAAATGATTACAATTACAACAGCATTTTGAAAATGATATAACAATAACGATAATGAATAATAAACATGATCACAAGTAATATTCTCACATCATAAAGAATCAAAGTTGTACAGATATGATTAAATGACAAAGAAACAGAAGAAGAAAAGGGGATGTAAATTCTTATTACTGTTTTTTGTGAGGAGTACAGAGAGATGCTTTGGTATAAAATTAATGTTTGTTTGTTGTTAAACTTTCCTCTCCAGCATGTTTCAATTATATAGAGACGCAATTGATTGCCGGTTGAGGTGTGCTAATAATGTTTTTGTTTTGTTCAGGTTTTACCTGATAAACGGTTTTCATAGACTTGTATCTTCGTCTGCAATACAAAGTCTCTGTCAATCAAATACTGCCTATACCATTTATAAACACATGCACGTCTTACTTGTGACATTTTTATTTACTTTTTAACATTTTTAGATTTTCTTCAGTATAACATAAGTTACTTATATCGTTATCCGCTGCCCCGTGATGTCAACAGCATCATTATTTTTTTCGCTTTCAATGAGGACTACCAATATTCTCAAATTCATTTCACTTCATTTCATTTCTTATATTAAGCCATAATTTGGAATGTGAATCAATTGGGAAATTAACAAAGATTATTCAGTTAAGATGGCGTTATGAATAGTAATTGTTCTGCTGGCATTTTATTGTACTAGAGCTTGTACTATGCTTGTGTGAAAAAGGAATTGCAATCATAGCAGAAGAAAGTGTGTCTAAAGTCCTAAAAACACAACAGTGGAAGAAAGCAGAGGGAATCCAAACATTATAACTTAATTGTACAGGTGGTAATTTAAGCATCTAAGATTAATATCCGTTTTTATTTGTTTTATTATACAGAAAATATGACTACAGACATTATTACATGTATGTTTATTTACACTAAATGTGTTGTTGTTAATTGCTAAATTTTGCCTTCTCCGAGATCCCATATTTGCAGTATTTAATTCTGGATAGGTTTGAAATAGATCATCATAATTTAAAAAAAAAAACAAGAGGCCCAGGGGCCACATCGCTCATCTGAGCAATTTGCTAGGAAAAGGCACATATCAGATCCGAACTGAAAGTTCATTGAATTGGGGGGGGGGGGGGCTTGAATTTTAACCCTCTAGGGGGTCATGGTTTGAATAAACATGAATCTACACTACCTGAGGATGATTCCATATAAATATCACTAACTATAGATTTGAAGTTCTTGAAAAGAGGATTTTAAAAGGTTTGCCTATATATTCCTATGTAAAACTTTGATCGGCCATTTTGGTCCCACCCTACCCCCGAGGGTCATGATCTGAACAAACTTGATTCTACACAACCTGGTGATGATTCCACACGAGTTTCATCTTTCCTGGCCCAGTGGTTCTTGAGAAGAAGATTTTTAAAGAGTTTTCCTATATATTCCTATCTAAAACTTTGATCGGACATTTTGGCCCCACCCTACCCCCGAGGGTCATGATTTGAACAAACTTGAATGTACACTACCTGAGGATGATTTCACACGAGTTTCATCTTTCCTGGCCCAGAGGTTCTTGAGAAGAAGATTTTTAAAAAAATTTTCCTATATATATCTATGTAAAACTTTGATCGGCCACTTTGGCCCCACCCTACATCCGGGGGTCATGATTTGAACAATCTTGAATCTACACTACCTGGTGATGATTCCACATGAGTTTCATCTTTCCTGGCCCAGTGGTTCTTGAGAAGAAGATTTTTAAAGATTTTTCCTATATATTCCTATGTAAAACTTTGATAGGCCATTTTGGCCCCACCCTACCCCCGGGGATCATGATTGAACAAACTTGAATCTACACTACCTGGTGATGATTCCACACGAGTTTCATCTTTCCTGGCCCAGTGGTTCTTGAGAAGAAGATTTTTAAAGATTTTTCCTAAATATTCCTATGTAAAATTTTGATCGGCCATTTTGGCCCCACCCTACCCCCGGGGGTCATGATTTGAACAAACTTGAATCTTCACTACCTGAGGATGATTCCACATGAGTTTCATCTTTCCTGGCCCAGTGGTTCTTGAGAAGAAGATTTTTAAAGATTTTTCCTATATATTCCAATGTAAAACTTTGATCGGCCATTTTGGCCCCACCCTACCCACGGGGGTCATGATTTGAACAAACTTGAATCTACACTACCTGGTGATTATTCCACACGTGTTTCATCTTTCCTGGTCTAGTGGTTCTTGAGAAGAAGATTTTTTCTAAAATGCCATTAATTTTTTCTCTAATTCATAATTATCTCCCCTTGGAAAAGGACGTGGCCCTTCATTTGAACAAATCTGAATCCCCTTTACCTAAGAATAATTTATAACAAGTTTGGTTGAAATTGGTCCAGTGGTTCTTGAGAAGAAGATGAAAATGTGAAAAGTTTACAACAACGACGACGACAACGACGACGACGACTACGACGACAACAACGACGACAGACAACGGACAAATTGTGATCAGAAAAGCTCACTTGAGCCTTTGGCTCAGGTGAGCTAAAAACTACAAATCATTTGAATTGTTATTATATAATCTATCAAATTTGTATAGCAAATGACGTTAAATAAGAAAAGATATGAAAAGGAGTTCAGAAACTTTTCGATCAACCTCGTAATTAACCGTCTTTTCGTTTTACGAAACATCTTAATCATATTTAATTTTACTTACTGGTGATCGACAGTTAAGGGGCTTTAGCATATGGAAATTTAAATTCTGATTTACGTAATTTTCAAACTGAACTCATTCAGATACATCAGAACAATACAATTCATTTACTGTTTGTTATCTACAACACTAGTTTATATTTAAAAGACGGCTTACATTTTTATTTATATGTGTAAACAGAATTAACTGATATTCTTTTGATAAATATAATTATATAGAATATGATTGACCTTTTTTTCGCGTGGTCTGTTTCATATTTGAATATTATCCTGACTACAGGCAATACTCGACAACCTCCTGGTTTTCCATTTAGTACAATGACAAATTTCCAAATAACAATTGTATGTCCCCTTGACAAAATGTTCGCGTTTTAAACCGATCTCTCCACAATCTGCAGAACTAATGAAAATTTATTAGTTCTACTTGCTACGAATTCTCAATGATAACGTTTATAAAAGTTATACTTTATGAGTGAAAAATTTTCGAATTGGACGTCAAACAACAACATAAATACATTTCAAGTTATATATGGAAATTGAATATACAGTACTAAGAGAATTCAAAATTTAATAAATTCCACAGGGAATTGTAGGAAGCCTGCATTAAACAAAATGTTTCCTATATTGTAAACACGGTTCTTGGAATTTCAATTGTATAGGCTATATAAATCACATTGCTTGGAGACTTTGTTATTCTAATATAAATGATAATAGTGTTTGTCTTGGTTTGTTGTTACGTATTGCTTGTATTTTTTGATCAGAATATGTTCATCATAAAATATACAAGTAAATTAGTACATTATCTTGGGTATATTCATTTTAATAATTTGCATACAATAATGGCATATTTTTATATTCACTTGAGTCTATATTTTTTCTTTTCTTCTTATACATGCTGTTTATATGTCAATTCCGTGCAGTTACGAATCAAAATTGCACATAAATAACATAAAACTATATTTGTATTTGTAACTGAGATAAAGATAGAAACAACAAGGAAAATGGAACAAGTGCTTTATAATTAAATTCAATGCAAGCACATGGATTCTTTTATTCAAACAAATAGAGCGTGTCATATCATGTTATATTTCTAGCTGTTTTATTATTTTAATACTTTAGATTAAAAAAGTCGGAAAATAATTAAACAGAGGGCAACATT